GGGCGTGCTTCCGTTGTGGCCAGCCGGGTCACGTGGCAAGCGGCTGCCCGAGGAACGGGAACGGTGGCCAAGGTCCCGCACCCGTGGTGTAGGGGCGGGCCTTGAGCGGTTGCGCCTTGTGCGCGTGGCACAGTGCACGTCATGTGCAAAATCCGTGGGCAACCCAAAGGGGTTAGCGATGGCGATTGGCCAGCCCTAGTGAGGGGTGATTGATAGGCTAGAGGCCTAGGATGCGGGGGAGGGAATTACAAACCTCTTGGCCCTTAGTATTAGCCCATGCGGTAGGGGCAAAGGCATGCTAGGAGCATGGCAATGTATGGCCCGTTTCATATAAGGGCGGACTTATTAAAGGAGCGATTTCTGATTTTGGCTCATGATGAAAAAAAAAAAAAAAAAAAAAAGGGAGAGAGAGTGAGAGCAAGAAGAAGATGAAGGAGAAGAAGAAGAGAGAAGGAGAGAAAGGGAGATGGAGGCAAAAAAAAAAAAAAAAAAAAAAGGGGCGAAGATATGTACCGTACGACCCCAATCAATGGCCCTTGCACTCATCGGACGGGCAGCCATTGCCTTGGGTGAGCAAGAGTGAGAACAAAAGAGAGGGTGTGTGTGTGTATGCGAGAATGAAGAGAGGCAGAGAGAGAGAGAGAGAGAGAGAGAGAGAGAGGGAGAGAGAGAGGACACGAGAGAGTTCCTTCCCTCTCCTCGTGTTGTGGCCACGTGACCACGCGGAAAGACTCACACCCGCACCTTGGTTGGTGGATTGAAAAAAAAAAAAAAAAAAAAAAAAAACCCGTACAATGCGGATGCTAGGGGTGACAAATGGTATTCGAATGGGTCAACAAGCACGCATTCATCACATGCACCGCCATTTCACGCACGAAGGCTGGAAATCATATCCATAGGAACCTCATTTCGCATTCCCGCTCCATTGTCATTCCGCAAACATGCAGCGGCAATACGCCATGAGGTGTTCGACGACGACGATCCGTACGAATTCGCCGTCACAGACAAGACCGTCACGCAAATGCGCGGGCGGCTTCGCCCACCCAGTTGCAATGAGAACGATGCCAAATGATCAGTATAAGAAAGCAAGCTTTCTAAATTGACGTTTTCGCTATAAATGTTTGCTCACATGTTCGCTCATATATTGTACTCGCTTTGACCCTTTAACTGCAATTTAATTTGCTAGGGTAGTTCAATTGCACCCGTAACACTCATTCACAATTGGCTACACAATACGGTTTATAAACTACAATTTAAAAGAGTAGCTGGTTGAAGAGCATTTCAAGCCACGTATCTGTGACACCACCTTCACACCAATGAAGGCAGTCGTTTTTCTTGCCCACTGGAGCCCCCCCTGCCAAGATATGGCAATAGTTGGACGAAAGCCATGAGTGTCACGACAACAAAAACAGAAATGTGGTAAATATGATTAATTTGCAACAAACCAAATCCTCACCTTTCACCATCCATTTTTGGACGTGGCCATCCGGGCGATAATAGCTCATTGGCGCAACGTCGACATAGCTTATTGGAGAACCTGACAAGACCCTCATCTGAATCTCCCGGAACTTGTCACCCTTCGCAAGCTCCTCTGCCTGTGTGTTGGGGGCAGGCGAAACATGTAGCAAACAAACATCATGTGTGGAAGCTTAAGCTCGCTTTTTCAATGTTGTGCTGAAGCAATTTGTTCGTCTATATTGAACTTCTCTTCAGTCCCGAAACCTTGTTGTGGGAAGGTGACATGACACATGACAATGCCTTGCACCAAACCCTCGTGATGTGACATATAACGTGTCAGGGACGCATTAATGATGTTACAATCCCCTATTGTCCCAAATCAGTTTCTTACCTGCTGTGCTGTGAGAATTTTACTGGTCTCGCAAGACCCCTCCTTCAGCCCGGGGACCTTGTAGTGGGAGGGGGACACTCCCACCAGGGCAACGCGGCCCTTAAAGCCCGACTTAAAGCCCGACTCACCCACGTCTCTCATTTTCCAACGGCTCATGCAACTCTCAGTTCCTCAAGCTCATTTCTAGTTTTCCGTTCAAGCTGGCTAGAACTCGCTCTCTACCGAGAGGCGTTTCACCTTCAACTTTATTAGCTGACATTCTCAACCACAACCGCTCGACTATGGCTGCTACGCCGACACTTAACCGCGCGAACAATACCGTCGTCAACGACTCGAATATTTCCGACACCGATCGTAACGCCCGGGAAATGTCGGGCGAGCGCCGCAACAAGCGCCGGGCAGACGGCAGCAGCAGCACCCTTCGGCGCCTGTGGCGCCTGTTGCGCCAGTGGCACCCGTGGCACCAGTGGCGAACGTGGCGCCACACGCGACTGACGCGGAGCACGCGCCTGAGGCACACGCGCCCCACAGGCAGTCGCGTCAGCGCCAGAGGCGCCGTACGGCCGCCTCGTCTGACGCGACCGTTGACCCGGACTTGACCCAGACGTTGACCCCGGACCAAGTCAAGGCGCTCCTGTCCCTGTTACAGCATCGACCCGCCAGCGCAATTGAAGCCGAAACTACACAACCGGCGGCATCAATTTCGGCTAAAAACGAAAATTCGAAAAAGGAGAAGGGAGCGAAAGGAGCATCAACACGCCGCCACAACAAGGAGGTAGCTACCAGCGTTCCCGAAGCCGCAGCCGACGACCACGACTCCGACGACTCTGACGACGACGCTGGTGAGGCTCCGATCAACGCAGCAAATGTCACATCCATGGAAAATCTCCCCCCCCTTCCTTCCACCACCCCCACCTTTTCGGCGGCAAACTTCATGAAGGCGTTCGTGCGCGCGAAGGCGGAGCCCCTGGAGGACGTGAGGGCCTACCTGAAACACGCGGAGTACAAGCTGTAGCCCGACGACACGGCGGGCGGACTCGAAATGGTCATGAACGCCCTCGACTACATTTCGGAGCGTTTTGTGATGTTTCAAGTCGAGGACCACACCGACGACCGCGTGGCAAAGCGATTCAAGCTCTACCAACAAAAGAGTCTCCTGACTTCCCGCCCGTTCAAGCAGGCGGTAGCTGATGTGGCGGCTATGGATCGCGCGGAGGGCGCGTACGCTCGTTCCCACCGCGTTGGAGGGCATGGGCCGACGGCATACACCCCAAAGCGTGGACCGCCGCCCACGGGTGGCTTCCATGGCTTCCGTGGGGCGTGCTTCCGTTGTGGCCAGCCGGGTCACGTGGCAAGCGGCTGCCCGAGGAACGGGAACGGTGGCCAAGGTCCCGCACCCGTGGTGTAGGGGCGGGCCTTGAGCGGTTGCGCCTTGTGCGCGTGGCACAGTGCACGTCATGTGCAAAATCCGTGGGCAACCCAAAGGGGTTAGCGATGGCGATTGGCCAGCCCTAGTGAGGGGTGATTGATAGGCTAGAGGCCTAGGATGCGGGGGAGGGAATTACAAACCTCTTGGCCCTTAGTATTAGCCCATGCGGTAGGGGCAAAGGCATGCTAGGAGCATGGCAATGTATGGCCCGTTTCATATAAGGGCGGACTTATTAAAGGAGCGATTTCTGATTTTGGCTCATGATGAAAAAAAAAAAAAAAAAAAAAGGGAGAGAGAGTGAGAGCAAGAAGAAGATGAAGGAGAAGAAGAAGAGAGAAGGAGAGAAAGGGAGATGGAGGCAAAAAAAAAAAAAAAAAAAAAAAGGGGCGAAGATATGTACCGTACGACCCCAATCAATGGCCCTTGCACTCATCGGACGGGCAGCCATTGCCTTGGGTGAGCAAGAGTGAGAACAAAAGAGAGGGTGTGTGTGTGTATGCGAGAATGAAGAGAGGCAGAGAGAGAGAGAGAGAGAGAGAGAGAGAGGGAGAGAGAGAGGACACGAGAGAGTTCCTTCCCTCTCCTCGTGTTGTGGCCACGTGACCACGCGGAAAGACTCACACCCGCACCTTGGTTGGTGGATTGAAAAAAAAAAAAAAAAAAAAAAAAAACCCGTACAATGCGGATGCTAGGGGTGACAAATGGTATTCGAATGGGTCAACAAGCACGCATTCATCACATGCACCGCCATTTCACGCACGAAGGCTGGAAATCATATCCATAGGAACCTCATTTCGCATTCCCGCTCCATTGTCATTCCGCAAACATGCAGCGGCAATACGCCATGAGGTGTTCGACGACGACGATCCGTACGAATTCGCCGTCACAGACAAGACCGTCACGCAAATGCGCGGGCGGCTTCGCCCACCCAGTTGCAATGAGAACGATGCCAAATGATCAGTATAAGAAAGCAAGCTTTCTAAATTGACGTTTTCGCTATAAATGTTTGCTCACATGTTCGCTCATATATTGTACTCGCTTTGACCCTTTAACTGCAATTTAATTTGCTAGGGTAGTTCAATTGCACCCGTAACACTCATTCACAATTGGCTACACAATACGGTTTATAAACTACAATTTAAAAGAGTAGCTGGTTGAAGAGCATTTCAAGCCACGTATCTGTGACACCACCTTCACACCAATGAAGGCAGTCGTTTTTCTTGCCCACTGGAGCCCCCCCTGCCAAGATATGGCAATAGTTGGACGAAAGCCATGAGTGTCACGACAACAAAAACAGAAATGTGGTAAATATGATTAATTTGCAACAAACCAAATCCTCACCTTTCACCATCCATTTTTGGACGTGGCCATCCGGGCGATAATAGCTCATTGGCGCAACGTCGACATAGCTTATTGGAGAACCTGACAAGACCCTCATCTGAATCTCCCGGAACTTGTCACCCTTCGCAAGCTCCTCTGCCTGTGTGTTGGGGGCAGGCGAAACATGTAGCAAACAAACATCATGTGTGGAAGCTTAAGCTCGCTTTTTCAATGTTGTGCTGAAGCAATTTGTTCGTCTATATTGAACTTCTCTTCAGTCCCGAAACCTTGTTGTGGGAAGGTGACATGACACATGACAATGCCTTGCACCAAACCCTCGTGATGTGACATATAACGTGTCAGGGACGCATTAATGATGTTACAATCCCCTATTGTCCCAAATCAGTTTCTTACCTGCTGTGCTGTGAGAATTTTACTGGTCTCGCAAGACCCCTCCTTCAGCCCGGGGACCTTGTAGTGGGAGGGGGACACTCCCACCAGGGCAACGCGGCCCTTAAAGCCCGACTTGACCACATAGTCACGCAGAGTCTTGAGGCCAATCTCGTATGCAGCCTCCTTGGACAAGGACTGCTCCTTGCCGCCCAAGTACCACTTGTTGATGGCTGGGAACCACCAGTTGGTGGCCTGGAGGGAGTGAAGAAAGGGGGAGGGAAAAAGGGACATTCAATAAGGTAAGGTGGAGAGAAGAAAGGGAGGGAAAAAGGGACATTCACTAAGGTAAGGTTATCTCGTAGGCTGCCCCTCCTTGGACAATGACTGCTCCTTGCCGCCCAAGTACCACTTGTTGATGGCTGGGAACCACCAGTTGGTGGCCTGGAGGGAGTGAAGAAAGGGGGAGGGAAAAAGGGACATTCAATAAGGTAAGGTGGAGAGAAGAAAGGGAGGGAAAAAGGGACATTCACTAAGGTAAGGTTATCTCGTAGGCTGCCCCTCCTTGGACAATGATTGCTCCTTGCCGCCCAAGTACCACTTGTTGATGGCTGGGAACCACCAGTTGGTGGCCTGGAGGGAGTGAAGAAAAGGGGAGGGAAAAAGGGACATTCAATAAGATAAGGTCTGGGAAGGAAGTACGGGATGGAGGGAGGGTGGCAGGGAGGGAGGCAGAGAGGGAGGCAGAGAGAAGGGAAAGCAGTCGGGACATGAAAGGACTGGATAATACTATAGGGGAGGGGGAGGAGGTTAGGGGAGGGAGGGGGGTGGAAGGGGAGGGAGGGGGAGGGGGGAAAGGGGTGGCAGAGCAAACTACAGTGCGAAATTTCACCTGAAAAACGACAATGTCGGCCAGTGGCAGGAGGTCGGTGATCTGTGGGTCGATCTTATCAAGGTCAACACGGTTCATGCTGCCGCCCAGCCCGCTCGCCTGGTTCAGCCAATTGGAGAACACTGACGCGAAACGAGTGTTGGTACTAGGGACCTGAATCGGGTTACCAAGGGACGGGGTTGGGAGGTGAGGTGGGAGGAAGATGGGAAGAGGGGAAGAGGTGAGGTCGGGGAAAAGTGGTGGTGCCGTTTCTGAGAATTCTCAAGAGCAACGGAAGAAGCATTGGAGCGAGGAGCCTGTGTTGGGCTGCCCACAGGGAGGAGGTACGTGAGTTGACTAACCATGTTTGTTGTTTACCTGTGTGTTGTCACCAAATGGGGAAAGGGGAGAAAGGAGTGGGATTTTGTGATGCCAGGAGGGTTGGTTTATGCTCACAGCCTTGCTTGCGTCTCATCTCAGCTGGACAGACCATATCCCGTTCGTGTTGTATCATCTCACCCTGACGCCGTACGCCTTGGTGTTGCCGTTGGCGATGCGGAAATTCTGGATGGTGCCGGGCGACGCGGCGTGCAGCACGCACGCGACGGATCCGGCGAAATTCTTCGAGACGCTGTCGCCAAACACGAGCACCAGCTTGTTGCGAAAGCGCGTCAGCAGGCGCTTCGGCGTCATGCGCTGCAATGCGCAGCCTGCGGGCTGTGGGAGAGGGGGAGAGGGGGAAGGGGGAGGGGCGAAAAGGGAGGGGGAAAGAGTGGGAGGCGGAGAGTGGGGTTGGGAGAGGAGGGGGTTGAGAGTGAGAAGAATTTGTCGGGTGGCATTGCACAGCATATCACACACGATGCATGCGTCGGATGCGACGGGCCGGGCGAAGTCTTACGAGACGCTGTCGCCGTGAGAACACTAAAAGAGGAGTAACTCCCCCTCGCGATCCTCGCGTAGTACGCCTGACGGCTAAGCTGTCGTTTTGACGCGACGCGCCTCACAAGTCGTAGTAAAAACTCTAGCGGAAGTAACACGTCAATAGTACGCTCTGGCGGTTAGGGTGTGGATTGACGCGCCCCCGAAAGTCGTAGTATGAACACTGGCACAACTAACATTCCCTCGCTATACTCCCCTTGTACGCCCTGACGGCTAGGGTGTGGGTAGAATCGCGCGTATATACAGCTCAGGGAATGGCGGAATGTGAGGTTGACGTGATATCGTGTTAATGCAGCGTAAACGTACCACCCATCTGTATTTCTGGAATTGTAGGTCGGGCCGTCCCTGGCTCTGGCAGTTCTGGCTCGAGCGAATGTACGGACACGTCAGCCCCGTGTAACGCGGAAGATGCCGAGCCGCGGAAATCCACCGTCCCTTCGAAATGTCGCAGTTCCAGGATCCAGCGGCAACCCTTGTCGCATCTGCGTTGGTGAGAATGTAAATGCAAAGCGCAAGTTTGTGAGAATGTATTCGCGAAAAGCAAGCTTGTTCCAGGATCCAGCAGCGACATTTGTCCCATCTGCATGGTGAGAACGTAATTTCGAAGCGCAACTACGTGAGGATCAATGTCGCTTGAATGCGGTAGTGGAACACCACTAGTAGTAGGTATTGAAGACTTTGTGACGAAAGTATTGCACGACTGTCGCGGGACGACGGGGGTACGGTGACGGAAACGGAGACGGGAAACGGAAGTGGAGCGGCAAGATGACGGTAACGGAGCGCACAGAAGTGTGCACTACAGCCCCACGTACTTTGCGCGCTGGCGGTTGGGAGGTTCGCAGCTGCTGCTAAGAGGCAAACGGAGAGAAGCAGCAGATGACGTGTTGGAGACATCGTGGGGACGTAGCAGGCCGTGTATGGAATGCGCCGAATGTATCAGACTATCAATCGGCTCCGCCCTTTATTACGCTTTTCACTAAGCTCTGCTCAGCTGCTCGTGCTGCAAGCTTTCGAAATGGATTGGTTTGACTTATGAAGTATTCCCGCAGATTCTCCTCAAAACCAGTCACCCTTGCCTGCCAGGAATCTAAGACGGGCCTCTGTAGCAGCTATGCATCCCACATGACCAGAGTTGTGTTGCTTGTGAATAACGGGGTGGAAAGGCAAAATGCATGGACCGAGCACTCAAGGGGAGCACTGGTGGAACATGAGCGGCGCTTGTCAAGTCGCGTCTCGCCCAAAACTTCTGCCGTACATTCTTTTTGAGTCTGTAGATTTGGGGTTCTGGGGGCTTGAAATATAACAGTCCGAGAGCGTGAAGTGTAGTCAGTTCGCAAATCACGAGCCATCGCTGCTGCTGCCCACTTCCACACAGCTAACTTTGGGGCATTCGCTGAAAGTGTCGCTCACCAAGGACTTTTCTTTCGTAAGCTCCCACTTTACAGGGCACGGAATTCCTCTGGGTGCTGAGGTAAATTCAAAACTCAATCTCGGGCGCATTTTCATCCGCCGACATGTCCAAATTGAGCAGTGAGCTCGTACAAGCGCACTAGGCGGTTATGACGGCGCCGCGTGATTCGACTCTGGGATGTACGTTATTGAGTTTATGTCATCCTTCCATACAGACTACCATACAGAGATAACATTCCTAAACTCCATCGTTATGTCAGAACACGGTTATAAAATGTTTGTCATAACTTCAAGTCAAGTGCCAATGCTCATGACAAATTTACAACAGTTATTGCAAATGCATATAGTGTTTAAAGAGGAAAAACATTGACTAAACAACTCTAAAAGAGAAGATTGTTGTAGAGCACTTCAAGCCAAGTGTCTGTGACACCACCTTCACACCAATGAACACAATCGTTCTTCTTACCCGCTGGAGCCCCTCCTGCCAAGACATGGTGAAGTTGGACAAAAACCATGAGTGTTAGCAAAAATAGAAACGTGGTGCAGTTACTTTGCTTATGCACCGTCCATTTCTGGACATGGCCATCCGGGCGATAGTCACTCATAGGTGTAACGTCCACGTAGCGTATTGGAGACCCTGACAGAACCCTCATCTGAATCTCCCTGAAATTGTTACTGGTGCTGTCCCCTTTTGCAAACTCCTCTGCCTGTGTGTTGGACGGAGGTAAGCAAAAAAATAAGAAAAAGACAAAGAAACAAGCAAGCAAGCAAAGATTGCGCATGCAACAGGATTCATGTCGCTCACTTGTTCCTTGTTGTGCTGCAATTGTTATTGATGGTCTCTGTTGAACCTCTCTTCAAACCTGGAGGGATGGTCTCTGTAGAGCCTCTCTTCAAACCTGGAGGGATGGTCTCTGTAGAGCCTCTCTTCAAACGTGGAGCCTCATTATGGGAAGGCGACATGACGCACAACAATGCCTAGCACCAATCCCTCGTAACATGACATATAACACATTCATGATAAGATGCCTCACTGTTACAAATAAATGGTTTACCTGCTGCGCTGTCAGCATTTTGCTGGTCTCACACGACAGCTCTTTCAACCCGATGTCCGGGGACCTTATAGTGGGAGGGCGACGCACCCAGCAGGGCAACGCGGCCCTTAAAGCCCGACTTGACCACGTAATCGCGCAGAGTCTTGAGGCCGATCTCGTAAGCTGCTTCCCTGGAGAGTGTCTGCTCTTTGCCGCCCAAGTACCACTTGTTGATTTTCGGGAGCCACCACTTGGTTGCCTGGAGGCGAGAAAGAAGGGAGGTAGGGAGGCCTTTGCTGGCCGAAACGCGTTCGCACACGCATCCGGGCCTGTGTGTTTCTTCTTAACTGTTGACTGCCAGGAACCTCCACTTGGTCGCCTGGAGGCGAGAAAGAAGGGAGGTAGGGAGGGAGGTAGAGAGAGACGTGGGGAGGGAGGGATGGAGGACGTGAGAACACTGCACTATACAATAGGTGAAGGAGAGATAATAAAGGGTATGGGGACGACTGGGGCGGGGAAAGGGGAAGGTGGGGAGGGAGAAGGGGAGGAAGGGGAGGAAAAGGAGGGTAACAGAGCAATCTTAAGTGTGCAAGCTCACCTGGAAAACGACAAAGTCGGCCAGTGGGAGGAGTTCGGTGATCTGCGGGTCGATCTTAAGGTCAACGCGGTTCATGCTGCCGCCCAGCCCGCTCGCCTGGCTCAACCAACGTCTGAGAATGCTAAAACCATACCTGGAAAACGACAATGTCGGCCAGTGGGAGGAGATCGGTGATCTGCGGGTCGATCTGATCGAGGTCAACGCGGTTCATACTGCCGCCCAGCCCGCTCGCGTGGTTCAGCCAATTGGAGAACACCGACGCGAACCGAGTTCTGAAATGAGGAACCTGAATCGGGTTACCAGCATGGAAGAGGGGAGGAGGTGGGAAAGAGGGGGGTGGGGAGGGGAGGGGAAATGAGAAGCCTCAAAAGCAGTTCCGAGTCGCCTGGTTCAGCCAATTGGAGAAGACTGGCGCGAACCAAGGGTTGGAACGAGGAACCTGAATCGGTTTTGTTAACAGGGGGGAAGAGAAATTCGGGGGGAGGGAGGGAAAGTGGGAAATAAGCGTTGAGACAAGGAGCCTGAATTGTATTACCAACAGGCAAGAGGGGAGGAAATAGTTTTAAGTTGACTCAAGATTCAGCCAGTCAATGACGACCCTGACGTGTCGTTACAACTCAGCTCACCCTGACGTGTTGTTTCTTCTCATCTCACCCTGACGTGTTGTTTCTTCTCATCTCACCCTGACGTGTTGTTTCTTCTCATCTCACCCTGACGTGTCGTTTCTTCTCATCTCACCCTGACGTGTCGTTTCTTCTCATCTCACCCTGACGTGTCGTTTCTCATCTCACCCTGACGCCGTACGCCTTGGTGTTGCCGTTGGCGATGCGGAAATTCTGGATGGTGCCGGGCGACGCGGCGTACAGCACGCACGCGACGGACCCGGCGAAATTCTTCGAGATGCTGTCGCCGAACACGAGCACCAGCTTGTTGCTGAAGCGCTTTAGAAGGCTCTTTTGAGTCATGCGCTGCAACGCGCAGCCTGCGGGCTGGCGGGGAGAAGGGGATGGAAAAGGGGAGGGGGAAGCGGGAAGGGAGGAATGGGGAGGGAAAAGGGCAGAATGTGGGTGGTAGCAAGAAGCGGGAGCAGCTCGCATGCGGCGTACAGCACGCACGCGACGGACCCGGCGAAATTCTTCGAGATGCTGTCGCCGAACACGAGCACCAGCTTGTTGCTGAAGCGCTTTAGAAGGCTCTTCGGAGTCATGCGCTGCAACGCGCAGCCTGCGGGCTGAGGGGGAGAAGGGGATGGGGAAGGGGAGGGGGAGGAGAAAGGGGAAAGGGGAAGGGGAGGAGAAAGGAGAAAGGGGAAAGGGGGAGGGGTGCAAGGGGGAATGGGAGGGGAAAAGACGTAGATTGTGGTTAGCAGCATGAAGCGAGAGTAGCTCGCATGCGCGACGCATGCGACGAATGCGACACCGACGGAGGACGCGACGGGAGTCATGTGTTAGGCCCCGACTATGATAATAAGCCCCGACTCTAGAAAATTCGATCCCCCAGAAAGTCCCCTCTAGGTGGTGGGTAGTGCCTCGCGGATATACAGGCACTGTATATCCGCGCGGCATACAAAGAGAGGTGGGACGCCGTGGTTGAAGTTCTAATGTGCTCATAACGCGAATGGAGAGAGCGTAGCGATAGCGAGAGAGTTTCTACTATGAGAACGGTGTTGTGCCAGCAACTCGGTAGCGTCTCAGTAGCGTTCGTCTCCAAATGACTAAGGAAGAATCCAAGTAGCAATTGTAATAACACTATAAAGTTCATACAAGCAAACACACAATACATATAGGCAAGCGAGAGTTGCACAAATGTTGCGTGGCGCTCCGGTGTAACCCAACCCCACGAAGGTGTTGTGCAGGTGGGCGAACGCGCCCTGCCGAATTCCCTATCCAACTCAGCAGCGAAGGTACTTCCGTGCACGCCACTCCACCCAACTCAGCTTGGGAGTGGCGTGCCTCACAAGGAAGCACTTCAAGACTCCCACGACTCCTCTTTCCCAGCACCGACTTCGGCGAATTCGTCACTGCAGCTCGTAGTCACCCGTAGTCGCATGTGACCGCCACCGAACTACCGAGTAGACTAGGTCGTTGAGCGCCGACCTGCCAAGTAAACGGTCGTCGAGGGCCCTTGCTGTCGTAGGGCCCTCTAACAATACGTACCACCCATCTGTATTTCTGGAATTGTAGGTCGGGCCGTCCCAGGTTCTGGCAGTTCTCAGTAGAGCGGATGTACGGACACTGTCCCGTGTAACGCGGGAGATGAAGGGGCGCGGAAACCCACTGCCCCTTCGAGATGTCGCAGTTCCAGGATCCAGCGGCGACAGTTGTCTTATCTGCGTTGGTGGTGTTGGAGGTGGCGTGTGTTGGAAGCAAGGTGGTGGTGGGGCGATTGATATGCCCCCAACCCACCAAATGTGTTGCTTCCGAATGTGTTCACTGCAGGTCTCGAGAAAGTGCAGGTTGACTTCGAGAGACTTGCATTTCGGTGCCACATGGCAGCACAAGAAGAATCGAGACTCAGGGAGAATTCGATTCGGTGAAATTCGAGACTCGAATTTCACCCCTTCGAAATGTTACTCGAACATTCGAGTGTACCGCGGTTCGAGGTTACATGTGCGATTCGACGTTTTGGAGTTCATATAAATGTGTTTGCTTTTGTATTGCATGAATCATACTGGAAAACGTGAATCACTTTGTACACAGTGCATTCGACAACAAATTCCAGAGAATTTCCAAACCTTCAACATAGAGCATAGCTTTCACGTTAGTAGCCATATCTCGCTCGATACTTAAGCGATCGAGGTGATCTACGGCTCGTTGGAAAGCTAACAGAGTGCTCTACTGATTAGAACACTTCCCAGTTCCTGCAAAGTAGAGGAGAGTCCTTTACAACAGTGGTATCAGAGCTGGTCGGAGGAGTCTACGCGCGCGACAAGGAGCAAGCCTGATGACGTCAAGCGAGGCCTCCCGCACTTCCTTGGATGGTGTCGTCGTAAATTCCGGCGAACCCTGGGCAACCGCGACGATGTTCGACACGTCGGCGATACCGATTTTCACGGGACAAAACTACTCCGCGTGGAAGTTTAAGTTCCAAGTGCTCATGATGGAGCGGGGACTTTGGGGTCTCTTCGATGGAACGGAGAAGAAGCCGGACGACGAGAGCGGCATCGCGGCATGGAAGAAGAACGACCAAAAGACGTTCGCTACGTTGATTTCGCGCATCGGCATCAATCTCGTGAGCTCGGTGCGCATGTGCATCAAGCTCGAAGCGTCGGCGCATGAAGCGTGGAAGCGGCTCGAGACCATCCACGTGAACAAGACTCTCCACGGCAAGATCCTAGCCCGGAATGCGTTCTACACGGTGAAGATGCGCGCGGGCGAATCGATGCACGAGTATGCGACTCGTGTGGAGGAACTCGGGGAAACGTTCATGGACCTCGGTGGAACGGTCACGGAGGAGGATTGGATTTTGACCTTGCTTTGCGGCCTTCCGGAAGAGTGGTCGACGGTGATTACGACACTCGATAGCGTGCAAGACACTTGGACGAAGGAAATGGTGGTCGGTCGGCTTCTCCATGAGGAATCGCGTCGCCGACAATTCGCGAATGAGAGCGAAGGGACCGCCATGTACTCCGGAGGGAGTTCCGGAAAGAAGTCCAAGTGGAGCAAGGGTTCGACGAAGGAATCGTCCGGTGGGAGCGAGCATCGCGGCAAGTGTCACTATTGCCGCAAACCGGGACACTTTTGGCGTGAGTGTCGAAAGCGGCCGAGCGATTGGACTCCATCGATGGCGCGGGACCAAGAGGGCAACGCGCACACGGCATCCGGCGACGCGGATGATACAAGGGAGTCGCTCGTGTTAGTGGCCGGCAACGGGAACAAAGCTCCAAGCGACGCATGGTTCCTCGATACCGGCGCAACGCAACACATGACGCACTCGGCGTCGCTCCTCAACAACATTGGTGCTCCGGGAGACGTCACGAGTATCGTGTTCGAAAACAACGAATCGCTACCGGTGGTTGGAGTTGGGAGTACACGCCTCATCGTCGATAGCGGACCGGTGGACGTCACGAACGTGCTTCACGTCCCGGGGGTGAAGGTGAACCTTCTATCCGTCCCGCAACTTGCAAAGAAATGCGTGATCGCCACCATCGACGGTGCGAAGATGAACCTCTTTTGGAAGGGGGAGCAATTCGCGCAAGGTGTTCTCAACGGAGATATCTACCAACTCAAGACGTACCCGAGAGCAGCTTCATCCAACGTGGCGCAAGAGTCCAAGGCAACTCTCAAGGCGTGGCATAATCGACTTGCGCACGCCAACTACGACTCGGTCAAGGAGTTGGCCAACAAAGGACTAGCGAAGGGAGTCGACGTGATCGCCGGCGACGACGAGAAGGGCGTGTGCGCGGCGTGTGTCGAAGGAAAAATGGCTCGCAAGCCATTCGGTAGCCGAACGTCACCCCTCGCTAAGGACCCGCTTGCACTTGTTCACATGGATGTGTGTGGACCGATGCGGTGCGCATCAAAGGGAGGAGCACGGTTCCTCTTGGTGATGCTCGACGACGCGACGCGGATGTGTTGGACCCGACTCTTGAAGGCTAAGAGAGATGCGGCCAATGCGATTCAAGAGTGGGCGCTCGAAGTTTGCGACGTCGACAAGAAGCGGATCAAGTGTATTCGCACCGATGGTGGTGGCGAATTCGTGAACGCGGAGCTTGAGAAATGGAAGAGCAAAAGCATTAAGCATGACGTCACAACACCCTACACACCCCAACAAAATGGAGCGGCGGAGCGGCTTAATCGCACGTTGGTGGAAGCCGTTCGTTCACTACTTCAACACTCCAAGCTTGAGAACGAGTGGTGGGGAGAGGCGAGTGCGCTAGCGGCATGGATTCGTAACCGTTTGCCGACCAAGGTGCTACCGGGAACGACTCCGTTCGAAGCATGGACCGGAACGAAGCCAAACCTTTCCCTCCTACGCACCTTCGGATGTCTTTGCTACTACCATGTACCGGATCCTCTTCGCCACAAGTTGCAACCGAAGGCTCGTGCGGCGAACTTCTTGGGAGTTGTGCTAAACGAGCGTGCATGGCGAGTGTGGGACTTGGGTGACAAGCGTGTCGTCACATCTCGGGATGTGGTCTTCGATGAAGACAAGTTTCCGAAGGAGAAACCAACTCAACAAATCACCTTCATCCTTCCGGCACGAGAGGAGGTTGAAGAAAGTGAGGTTCTACCTCAAGTGGAGAACGAAGCCGATGGAGGGGGAGAGAACAACGAGGAGAGCGTTGATGATGTCGTGGAGGTGTCACCAACCGAGGCGGCAACTACCTCCACACCTTCCTCCCTACCATTGGCCTTGGCTCGCGAGCGTCGTGAGGTTCGTCCTCCCTCCAAGTACAACGACTACGCTACGGTAGCCGTTGGGGAGACGGATAAAGGGGGCGCGGCATTTTGCTTCGCGACCAAGGGTGATGATAAACACGCGGAATCTCTCATGGAACCACCCCCTAAAGATCCATCCCGTGCATGCTATGAGCATGTTAGTTTGCACACCTAGTGGGTTGGGTGCAAGGGGGAGTGTTGGAGGTGGCGTGTGTTGGAAGCAAGGTGGTGGTGGGGCGATTGATATGCCCCCAACCCACCGAATGTGTTGCTTCCGAATGTGTTCACTGCAGGTCTCGAGAAAGTGCAGGTTGACTTCGAGAGACTTGCATTTCGGTGCCACATGGCAGCACAAGAAGAATCGAGACTCAGGGAGAATTCGATTCAGTGAAATTCGAGACTCGAATTTCACCCCTTCGAAATGTTACTCGAACATTCGAGTGTACCGCGGTTCGATGTTACATGTGCGATTCGACGTTTTGCAGTTCATATAAATGTGTTTGCTTTTGTATTGCATGAATCATACTGGAAAACGTGAATCACTTTGTACACAGTGCATTTGACAACAAATTCCAGAGAATTTCCAAACCTTCAACATAGAGCATAGCTTTCACGTTAGTAGCCATATCTCGCTCGATACTTAAGCGATCGAGGTGATCTACGGCTCGTTGGAAAGCAAACAGAGTGCTCTACTGATTAGAACACTTCCCAGTTCCTGCAAAGTAGAGGAGAGTCCTTTACAACAGGTGGGAATAGTGTGGTCGCGAAAAGCAAATTTGTGGAAAGTTATTCGCGACAAAGCAAGCTTGTGGTATTGGTATTCGCAGCGGCGACACGTGTCGCATCTGCGTTGGTGAGAACGGAATTGCGAAGCGCAAGTTCGTGAGGATAAATGTCGCTGGAATGCCGCGGCAGTGGAACACTAATAGTAGTAGGTACTTAAAACTTGCGACGAAAGTCTTGCGCGACTGTCACGGGACATGGTGACGGCGGAAACGGTAACGGTGACGGAAACGGAGGCCGGAAATGGACGAGCGGCAAGGTGACGGTAACGGAGCACACTAATGTGCGGTACGTACTTTGCGCGCTGGCGGTCGGGAGGCTCGCAGCTGCTGCTAAGAGGCAGACGGAGAGAAGCAGCAGGTCACGTGTTGGAGACATCGTGGGGAGTAGCAGGCCGTGTATGGAATGGCCGTGTATAACTCCGCCCTTTATTACGCTGTTCGCTAAGGTCTGCTCAGCTGCTCGTACTGCAACCTTTCGAAATGGATTGTGAAAGACGAGTTGGTAGGATCATTATGGGTGGAAAGCGACATTCATGGATGGACCGAGCAGCACGCAAGGGGAGCACTCGTGGAACATGAGCGGCGGTTGTGACGCGGCTCGTTCATAACTTCTGCAGTCCAAAAATTACTGTGAGGGTCCCAAGAGAAAGGGTTCTGGGGGCTTGAAAGAAACAGTCCGAGTGGGTGAAGTGTCTGTAGCCAGTTCGCAATCACAAGCTGTTGATGCTAATGCCCACTTCCTCGACAAGGGGAATTCGCCGAAAGCATCGCTACCTAGGTTTCTGCTTTCGTTAGCGCCCGGATTACTGGGGCGGGGCACAGAAATCTTGTTTCAGTGAGGTCAATTTACAACTCACTCGGCGAGTGCATTCTCATCACCGACATATGTGCGATCCGAATTGAGCCTGCAATGGAACACATCGCAAGAGCAGTAAGCTCGAACAGCCGCACAAGGCGGTTATGACGGCAGCGCGCGATTCGGGACTGGAATGTGCATATACCTGTTATTGAGGTTCTTGTCATCCTCCTACACAAACTACCTTACGGAGAAAACACTTTAGAAACTTTATCGTTATCTCAAGATTGTGCTGTACAGCATCTCAAGCCAAGCATCAGTAACTCCACCTTCACACCAGTGTAGGCAGTCGTCCTTTTCAATCGAGGCTCCCCCTGGAGGCGACATCAGGGAGAAAAAACGTTTGAACCAATATGCATGCAATCAAAGCAGAGTTGATTAACATCATACCGTAATTACATCCCTACCTCTCTTAGATGTACATATGCGTACCTGGGGTAGTCCAATTTTGTATATGTCCATCGGGTCGCCATGAGCTCATAGGGAGGATATCCACATAACGGATAGGGCTACCAAGTAACACCCTCAGCTGAACCTCTCGAAACGCCCTCGCTATCTTCTCTACTCTGAAAACCTTCTTTGTCTGACAACGCGGGAACGATTGAAGAAACAAACGGGAAGGCTCATCAGCGATCAAGTAGAGGAGAAACGGCAGCTGACATGGCCAAGATCTTGTTTGCCAGAACACCCAAATGATGGCGGAAATAATGGAGCTTTGTTGCTGCACTGCACCTTGATACATTTGCTTTTGAGTCGACCCACAAGCTGGCAAAAATAATGGCGCTTGTTGCTGCACCTTGATAGGTTTAGGTCGAAATGTGAGCACCTGCGGGCCAGTAGAGAGTACCTGGTTCCATGTCAGCTTCTGATTGGTGGAGCACGAATTCTTGGGCAGCCCGGGAACTCTGTAGTGCGAAGGTGAGACACCCATCAGCACAGCTCTACCAGAAAATTTGGATCTGGTTACAAAGTTACGGAGAGTGGTGAGGCCGATGGCGTAAGCATCTGCGTTGCTGCTTGTGACAATCTCCCTTCCGCTCTGATACCACCGCATCCCCTTCCAAAACCACCAATTTGTGGCCTGAGAGGGAGTGAGCATGCATGAATGCGTGAGAGGGGAACAATTGCGAGTGGATTAGAGAAGAGAGATATTGGATGTCGAATGTGAGAATGTGATAATGTAATTAGTGAAGGAAACGGTAGGAAAAGGGGACTGACCTGCAAGACCACAATATCTATCAGCAAGTGGCAACAAATCCACCATCTTCTGGTCAACCTTATCCATTTTTTTTTTTTCATTTTTTTTTAAGCTGATCTCAAAACTGGGAAAGAGGTCGCACCTGGAAAACGACAATATCAGCAAGTGGCAGCAAATCCACCACCTGCGGATCCACCTGATCCAGATCAATCCGGTACTGTAGCTTCGGAGTGGGCATCTGAGCTCCAGTTAGAAGCCATTTGGAGAACACCGAGGCGAATCTGATTCCGTGAGAGGGCAGCTGTATGCCCTCTGCTGTGCTGCTGCCCCTCTGGATCGTGAACGGCTGCACTGTTACACTGTTACCAGCTTTGCCAGCAACAGCAGCAGTAGCACCACCGCTACCAGCAGCAGCAGTATCACGAGCAGCGGCAGCAGGAGCACCATCACCAGCAGCGGCAGCAGCAGCGTGCAGGAAGCATGCGATGGAAGAAGCGAGGTTCTTTGACACGCTGTCACCGAGCACAAGAACGAGCTTGTTCCTTAGAGCGTGGAGCAGGCGCAGCGGGGTGAGGCGACTGATCCTGCATGAGTAGGGCTGGGGAATGGGAGCAGAAGGTATGACATGGCAGATGTGAGGGAGAAAGCGAGGTATTCTTTGATATGCTGTCGCCGAACACGAGAACGAGCTTGTTTCTCAGAGCGTAGAGCAGGTGCAGTGGGGTGAGGCGGCTGATCCTGCAAGAGAAAGGCTGGGAAAAAGAAGGGAGAGAAGGGCTGGTTGTTGGGGAGGAGAGCTAAGCAGAGCCGCCTGCTCTCGAGGCGAGCAGAGAAGGTTCCAAGAAAAGCACCCTGTTTAGGAAACTCTTAGGCGGAGCCGAATGGGAGGCGATGGAGGCTGCACTACCTTTTCACGACGGGGAAGGCCAAGTGGAAAGGGAGTTTAACTGGTCAACGAGGGCAGAATTCTGGACCAGAAACCAGTAACCAGTAACCGGAATTGGGAGCACGCTTATAGCGTGTACGTACCACCCATCTGTGCTTCTGGTAGGAGAGGTCCGTTCTGCCCTTGTCTCTGGCAGTTTTGGCTGTATCGGATGTACGGACATGGGAGGCCCGTGTAACTGAAATGGTATGGGCGAGAGGTTCATGCCTACAGCGCGTACGTACCACCCATCTGTACTTCTGGTAAGAGAGGTCCGTTCTGCCGAGCCTCTGTCAGTTCTGGCTGGATCGGATGTACGGACACGTCAGCCCCGTGTAGAAAGGAATGGTAAGGGAGAGAGGTTCCTGCTTATAACGCGTACGTACCACCCATCTGAATTTCTGGTAGGAGAGGTCTGTTCGCCCTAGTTTCTGGCAGTTCTGGCTGGATCGGATGTACGGACACGTCAGCCCCGTGTAGAAAGGAATGCCCCACGCGCGCTGCCACTTTCCCGCAGCAATGTTGCAGGTTTGGTTAGTGGCAGGAACATGCGGTGAATCTGGAAGAGGTAGGGGAGGAACAAGCGACGCACGCTACGAACAAGGGGCGTGAGGCCGGTGTGGAAAGGAATCCCCCCCGCGCGCTGCCACTTGCCCGCTGCTATGTTGCAGGTGAGGTTACCAGTAGGAGCGTGAGGGGCGTCTGGAATGGGAGGAAGAGAAGGGGGGGCAAAGGACGTGTGAAAGGCACAAGGGGCGTGAGGCCGGTGTAAAAGGAAATGCGCAACGCACCCTGCCACTTTCCCGCAGCTACGTTGCAGGTTTGGTTTTTTGGCAGGAGCGTGAGGGGCGTCTGGAATGGAAGCGCGAGAGGAGGGAGAAAGAAACGAGCAGTTTTTTAGGCGCCTCAAAATCGTTGCCACTTGCCCGCAGCTATGTTGCTGGTGAGGTTACCGGCAGGAGCGTGAGGTGGTGCGTCTGGAATGGGAGGAAGAGAGGGAGGGGCACAGGACGTGTGGTAGGAACAAAGGGCGTGAGCGCGGTGTAAAAGGAAATGCCCCACACGCACTGCCACTTGCCCGCTGCTATGTTGCAGGTGAGGTTAGTGACAGGAGCGTGAGGGGCGTTTGAAATGGGAGGAGGAGAGGGAGGGGCACAGGACGTGTGAAAGGCACAAGGGGCGTGAGGCCGGTGTAAAAGGAAATGCGCAACGCGCGCTGCCACTTTCCCGCTGCTATGTTGCAGGTGAGGTTACTGGCAGGAACATGAGGGGCATCTGGGATGGGAGGGGGAGAGGAAGGGAAGGGAAGAGGAGATCGAGAGGAAAAAGCGAGGAGGGTGAGAGGAGGGAGAGAGGGGAATGCCGGCAAAAGGGCTGCCATGATAGATTTCAGACACGCCGGGCTGGACCATTGTTAACCCTTGACTTTTGAGTCTACTCAGAAGTCACCTTTCCCGGTTGCACCATTGTTGACCATCGATAATATTTGTTGGAATGGGTGAGGCGCATGTGCGGTGGCAATCACGACAGCAACTTTGACCGCCATTGACAGCCTCGACTCGACAGCCGTCGGACGGAGGCTGCTGTTCAGTTAACTGCTTGTGTCCTACCAACGAGCACAGCTCGAAATCGTTCTCTACATAGTCAATATTGGGCGAGGAGCGCAGGGAGCGATATACCGAGTATCGAGAAGTCTTATATGATCCTACGTACGGGTGTAGTTCGGAGGGGCTCTTACAGAGTCGAGAATGAGCACATGCGCGGGGGTTGGGTCGACACGGCTGGAGCAGCAGCACGGCGGCGAAAACAATGCAGACCTGACGGAACGGCGGAAGATTTCGCCTCGGGAACTTCATGATTGGTGAGCACCCAATGCGTTATTTCCCGAATAGAACCTGCGTGGGCTGAGACTTTATTTGAGGCGCCTAAAATTATGTCCGGGGTGCCATGACTGCTGGAAAGCTTAGGAAGGGCAAAGAAAAAGTGACGAGGAGCAGGGGCCTGGCGATTTCAGTTTGTGTTTCTTAAGGCGCCTAAACAGTCGTGTCACGACCCCCCCACCCCCTGCAGTGGCTAGAATACGTCTTAGCATGCACAGACTCCTTATGTGACTGAAATGCCGCGTCCCACGTTAGCGCCCACGTGCTATCGCCTACGCGCTAACTTTTACACGTTATCACCTTCGCGAGCCAAATGCGTTGATTGACTGGAAGTTCGCGGCGGGCGCTCAGTTAGTAGTTGCCGCAACACCAAGGGTGAGGAGGAGAGGGTTTTTAGCATGAAAGAAACGGGAATGTCAGGGAGATGCGGAGGAGCAAATTTGGTGGAGGGCGCAAATTATTTGACGGAGATGAAAGTGGTTGGAAGGGGCGCTAGGGTCTGGCAGGGCGTCGGATTTCAGCCAGCCATTCGGAGCGAAGCGCGAATTGCAGGTTGCGCGAACCGCTAAGCGGGAGGAATAGTGTTCTATGCGAGATCCCAGCAAATTTGCAGTTGCATTTTCGTGCAATATGAGTATGTCCATATAATGTAATACACATTTTATTTTTGAGGAGAAATTCCTGCAGCTGCAGCTTGAATAGAAGCCAACTTTGTTCTCTCCACTTGCAACGCCTCACTATTTGGTGGATAGTGAGCGCATAGAATCTGGTACACGTGGTGGGATATATGGAGGATGGGCAGAAAGTGAGGCAAGAAAAAAAGGAGACAAGGATATAAGAGGGTGAAAATATGCATGGTAATGTGAAGTGTAAACAGTTTGAGGAGCACCAAGGCTTGAATGAATAAATAATACACAAGCAACCATTCTGGAAAATATTATCAATTGTCCTACACACCGTCAAGGCCGCTTGGCAGTGCTCCATGGCTTGTTTATAATTACCGAACCGGCAACATAGGAGCGCAATACAGTCTTCCGCCTGCCGTTCAACCATGTATAGTGCACATTCATGTCACAAAAGCATGTATACAGTGCACGTCCATGCCACAAAAACACGACCAGTGCATGCCATGCCACACAAGCATGCGCAGTGCAGGTTCAAGCCGCACAAGATAAACAATGCATGAGACACAAGGATGCACACGTTGCCACACAAACATGCACTTACATGGCACACTACCACACACACGCACACACACAAATCTATTCACATAGGCCCACACACCATATCTTTAAGGTGAGGAGGAGAAAAGGCATTTTATTGTACCTCGGTGAGAGTGCGGTTGAGAGGGTAACTGTACCTCGGTGAGAGAGTGGTTGAGAGGGTGCAAGTGGTGCCGAAGAGAATCCAACAGTCTGTATTTGAGGCGCCTCAAAAACAGAAGGAGCACGTGACTGTACCTCTGCAAGAGTGCGGTTGAGGGGGTGCAAGCGGTGCCGAAGTGATTCCAACAGCCGAGATGCGCGAGAGAGGGTTGATGCTGACGGTGCAGCAGCAGCAGCGGATCTCTCACTGTCTCGTAGCCTGATGAGGGTGAGAGAGCAGCAGCAGCACATGAAAAAAGGAGTGTTTTGAGACGTCTCAAAACACTCCTTTTTTCACGTGAGAGAGCAGCAGCAGCACATGGCATGGGGAAGAATGGTGTGGCCGAAGCCCAAGCAAGGGAGAGACGGCAAAGATGGACCAGCAGAGCTCTCACTGTCTCGTGGCCTGATGCAGGGGAGAGAACACCAAAAGTTGTGGTGCAGAAAATTGTTCTGTTCAACTTTGAAAAGGTAAGAAAAGGAAAGAAAACAAGCTGTAACTGCATCCAAACATCCCTGCCATACAGTTCTACAAACCACTCATACACCTCAACAATGCTTGAGTCGACTCGAAAATTGCCTCATCTTACGCGGTTTTGAGTCGACTAAAACAACTGCATTCCTACATCCCTGCCAAACGGTTCTACGAACCACTCATACGCCTCAGCAATTCTGCAACGCACTTTCTTACCTCAGCAAGTCTGCTCTGATCGCATCCACTGTAGCAGCCAGCTTCTTCCCCCGCTCCACTTCCTCAACCCCTGCACCCTCTGCAGACTCCCCTTCACTTGGCACTTTCTCCCTCCTCCCAATCTTTCCAACTCCTCCCTCCTTCCTCTCCTTCTCAAACAATCCACATCCGCAACCAACACACTTCCAGCCAATACCACCAGCCAGCCCTGGTACCACACCTCTTTCCCCACATCCCTTGGCATGGCACCGGTAGCCTCGGAGACACAGGTCCGAAAACGCTCGGGCAGGATCGGTGCAGGCTCGGCAGGAGCACTGGAAGAAGTACCTCTGGCGGAGCCAGGTTTGGCGCTCCGAAGCTGTTTTCTCCCCAACCTGAGCTCCATACCCGATGCTGAGCTCTTCGCCCGGGAGGACAGGTTCGGTAGTTCGGGCCACTAAAAGACGACCGTAGGAAAGTGATGACACAGGGACAAAAGAGGAGGAGAGACTAGGGAGTGGGGGTGTGAGGGAAGGAAATGGGAGATCAGAGAAAGGAGAGGAGGAAAGCGAAGGAGCAGAGACGAGAGGAGAGGAAGAACCGGCGGGAGGGATGGTAGGCGAGAGAGGGAGAGGAGTGGGAGGGAGAGGCGAGGAAGGGAAGGAGAGCGAGACATTGGGATGACATCTGTGGTTGAAAAGCGATGCAGAGAGGTAGAGGGCTTGAGCGATGGGCACCTGGTGTAGGGGTTGGGTTGATATAAAGGGTGGGAGAAAGGGAAAGGAGGAAGAGAAAGTGGGAGGGAATGAAGCTGAGGTTGAAGAGCAAGGCAGCGAGGTAGAGGGCTTGGGCAATGGGCACCTGGTGCGGGGTTAACGGGTGGGGTTGGAGGAGAGAAATGGGAGGGAGGGATGAGAAAGGGGAAGGCAAGGCAGCTGAGGTTGAAGAGCGATGCAGTGAGGTAGAGGGCTTGGGCGATGGGCACCTGATGTAGGGGGGTTGATCAAGGGAATGATAATAGGGGGGGAGAAAGGAAACGGAAAGGAGGTGGAAAAGCTGTGGTAATGAAGCGCGAGGCAGTGAGGTAGAGTGCTTGAGCGATGGGCACGTGGTGTGGGGGTTGATACAGAGAGGTGGAAATGAGGCGACTTTTAAGGCGCCTCAAAAGACGTTCTGAGGGGCCTCAAAATGCACCTGGTCAATCGAAGGCGCTGTATGGTTACCAGAAATTATCTGGTTACCATCACAACTAGGTTTACCACTGTACCTGTTCAATGCCCTCCAGTTGACCGGCAGTGCCGCCACTCTCCCCTCCCTGCACCCGGCTCACTGCCACCGCATTGAACCGCAGTTGACCCAGCACCACCAGCACTTGATGACTTGACACACGGAAGCGAGTCAAACGGTGCAGAAGAGAAGAGGCATGTTGCTGCTGCTGCTGCTTCACCCGCCTCCCATTCCCGCCTGCACGTGCTAGTTCCAGTGCAACCGCAGCGAGGGAGGAGTTGACGCAATGGGAAGTGACTATAGCGAGAAGAGCTAGACGGATAAACTCTTCCACCGGCCATACGTGCCCTAGCTGCGCCTCTTTTCCATCTCCTATGCTTTCCCTACATTCTTCCCTCCCTTCTCCCCTTCCTTCTCCCCCCCATTGTACCGTCCCTTCGCCCTCCTCAACTCCTTCCTCCTCTCTACTCCTCTGCTGCTCTCCTCCCTTCCCTTGCGTCGCCTCTCCCTCTCCCTCTCCTCTCGTACTACAAAGAAGCGAGGATGAAGGGGGAAGCGACCCCAGATGATGACACAAGGAATCCAACCCCCTCCCTCTCATACCCAGCCCTCGGGTTCCTACCTCACCCCCAATCATCCTTCCCTCACCCTGTGCTAATCCACCCCCCCCGAATCCCACCTGCCCCAGTCCCACCTGCCACAGTCCCACCTGCCCCAGTCCCACCTGCCCCACCACCCTACCAGCCAAGCAGGCCTCTACCGGCAAGGCAGCATGCCAGCTGCTGCCGCCACACTCCCCCAGATGCTCCCCCCACCGGGTAACACCTGCCCTCCACCCCGGCTGTAGCAGCTCCGCTGCTGTAGCATCTGTATCTCCCCCATTTTCCAATGCGGTTGTAGCACCCGTATCTGTAGCAGAGGCAGAATCTGTAGCAGGTGGGGCATTTGTAGCAGCTGTGGAATCTGTAGCAGAGGCAGCATCTGTGGCAGTAGAAGCAGCATCTGTAATGGACGTTGCCACTCCCAGAGCCATAGCAGCGCAGAGGGGCCGGCAGAAGAGGGCAAAGGAGCAGCCAGGGCAGGGGAAGGGGTTGGCGGGGAGGGGCAGCAGGCAGTGGTTGCAGCAGGAGGAGCGGTGCGGCTTCAAGAGGGCCTGGTGGGAAGAAGGGAGGCAGAACGAAGGCAGGAGGAGATAGTACGACTTTTGGGTTGAATAGACTGGTTGGCGGGGAGGGGCAGCAGGCAGTGGTTGCAGCAGGAGGAGCGGTGGGGCTTCAAGAGGGCCTGGTGGGAAGAAGGGAGGCAGAACGAAGGCAGGAGGAGATAGTACGACTTTTGGGTTGAATAGACTGGTTGGCGGGGAGGGGCAGCAGACAGTGGTTGCAGCAGGAGGAGCGGTGGGGCTTCAAGAGGGCCTGATGGGAAGAAGGGAGGCAGGAGGGCAGAAACGCACAGAGATGATAAGCACGCAAGGGAAAAGAGCTTTAAGGTGCCTAAAAAAAGGCAGTGGTGGCAGCAAGAGGAGTGGTGCGGCTTCAAGAGGGCCTGATGGGAAGAGGGGGATGCAGGAGGAGGGTGGAAGGAGGAAGGGGGAAGGAGGAGGGAGGGCTGAGGGAGGAGGGAGGAGGGAGGAGGGAGGAGGGAGGGGAGAGAAGTAGTGAGATGGTAAGGGCCCCAGAGGAAAGAGGTGATCACCTCTTTCCCCCAGACACTGACAGAGAGCTGCCTGCACGCAATCGAGAGAGCTGCACGCAATCGAGAGAGCGAGGAAGAACCAAACTTACCGCAACTATCGGTTCTTCAACTAGCACAACTGTGCCAGCTGGCAAGCCAGGAGCGCCAGCTGGCAAGCCGGGAGCGCCAGCTGGCAGGCAGGGAGCACCAGCGCATGGCTCTGTGCCGGCTGCAGCAGCTCTGGTGCCTCTGCTTGTATAACCCGCTGCAGCGAGCCGAAGGCCCCACCCTGCATGCGAGTCTTGGGGAGCCCTTGCACATGCCTGCTGAGAAGCACTAGTGGCGTTGGTCGCACTGGTGGCGTTGGTTGCACTGGTGGCGTTGGTCGCACTGGTGGCGTTGGTCGCACTGGTGGCGTTGGTCGCACTGGTGGCGTTGGTCGCACTGGTGGCGTTGGTCGCACTGGTGGCGTTGGTCGCACTGGTGGCGTTGGTAGCACTGGTAGACTTTGTGGTGCCGGAGCTGTCAAAAGAGGACAGGTGGGCTGCGAATGCCTTACTTCCATCAACTCGTGTTGTAGTAGCACTGGTAGACTTCGTGGTGTCTTGAAGCATCTTGGGACTTGCACCATGCATGGAGCCTGTAGTGCCACTAGCACCAGTAGCACCAGTAGCACCACTAGCACCAGTAGCACCAGTAGCACCAGTAGCACCAGTAGCACCAGTAGCACCAGTAGCACCAGTAGCACCAGTAGCACCAGTAGCACCAGTAGTACCAGTAGCACCAGTAGCACCAGTAGCACCAGTAGCACCACTAGCACCAGTAGCACCAGTAGCACCAGTAGCACCAGTAGCACCAGTAGCACCAGTACCACCACTAGCACCACTAGCACCAGTAGCACCAGTAGCACCAGTAGCACCAGTAGCACCAGTAGCACCAGTAGCACCAGTAGCACCACTAGCACCAGTAGCACCAGTAGCACCAGTAGCACCAGTAGCACCAGTAGCACCAGTAGCACCAGTAGCACCAGTAGCACCAGTAGCACCAGTAGCACCACTAGCACCAGTAGCACCAGTAGCACCAGTAGCACCAGTAGCACCACTAGCACCAGTAGCACCAGTAGCACCAGTAGCACCAGTAGCACCAGTAGTATGGGTGGAATCTGCCCTGCCAGTAGCAACGCCTGTAACATCACGAGCAGAGTCCCTTTCCGCTGTTCCAATGTGCCTAAAGGGTTCCACTTGCGGATGTAACCATGCGGTTACCACTGCTCCGTGACTTCTCTTGGCTGCTGTTGCAGTGCCTAGTGCTGCCATCACTGCTGCTGGCGCTGCTGCTGGCGCTGTTGCTAATGCTGCTGCTGGTGCTGTTGCTAATGCTGCTGCTGGTGCTGTTGCTAATGCTGCTGCTGGTGCTGTTGCTAATGCTGCTGCTGGTGCTGTTGCTAATGCTGCTGCTGGTGCTGTTGCTAATGCTGCTGCTGGTGCTGTTGCTAATGCTGCTGCTGGTGCTGTTGCTAATGCTGCTGCTGGTGCTGTTGCTAATGCTGCTGCTGGTGCTGTTGCTAATGCTGCTGCTGGCGCTGTTGCTAACGCTGCTGCTGGTGCTGTTGCTAATGCTGCTGCTGGTGCTGCTGCTGGTGCTGCTACTGGCGTTGCTGCTGGCGCTGCTGCTGGCCTGACTGCTGCTGTTTCTCGACTTGTTAGAGCTTCCTTGTTAAGTGTTGACTCTTCCTCTCCTGTTGCTGCTAGAATTTCCTTCTTTTGCTCCTCTGTAGTTTTCTTCAACTCGTCAGCAACTTTCTTTGCCCCGGGTCGATTTCCAGCCGCTTCCTCCAATAGGAGAGCTCTCTTCAAGTCAGTGACTGCACCGTGATACTTTTTTCGGGCAGCCCTAACACACCCCCTCCGAAACCAAGCCTGGCATGGAAAAAGTGGCAAAACAGAACAGCAACGCATGGAAAGGCGTGGTAAGCCATAGGCATAGCATGGGACGGTCCATCATAGTCATTGCAGGGCACAGATATTCACAGTCATGGCATGTGATATGGCATGGCGTCAGTTATGGCATGGGATGGACATGGCATGGCATCAGATATGGCATGGGATGGACATGGCATGGCATCAGATATGGCATGGGATGGACACGGCATGGCATGGAGTATGGCATGGCATGGCACCTACCTTACAGTAAGATGGAGAGAGGTGGATGGCATGGGAGCAATCCTCTTCAGCCTCCCTTAGCTGTCCCATTCTCTGAAGATCATACATTACACACACACATGCACATGCACATGCACACGGATATGCACACGCATGAACACATACACACATGTGCATCCATCACGAGTTAGCAACCGGAGCACACAAATTTGCAAGAACGATGACACTAGACGAGCCATTCACATGCAGACACGTGGCATGTTAAGGCCACTCACATGCAGACACGTGGCACGATTGGTGAAGAGTACTGCCAGCAAGTCAGGTGACTCCAGAGGCGCATACTGGAGGGCCTGCAGGGAGCCAGCCCGCACAACCCAAACGGGACAATAATAGTGAAAGTGTCGGTGAGGCGCATGATTTCTGTTGTGAGGCGCCTTACAACGCGTACTGCAGGGCTTGCAGGGAGCCAGCACAACCCAAACGGGAGGGGGAGGACTGGAAGATGAGAGGGTGGGACACACAGATTCTGTCCTTGAGGCACCCTGTGCTGGCTCCCTGCAAGCCCTGCAGAAACGCGTACAGCAGAAACGCGTACAGCAGAAACGCGTGCTGCAGGGCTTGCAGGGAGCCAGCACAACCCAAACGAGAGGCTACGAGAAGCTACGGCCTCTCACCTTGCTGTGGCACGTCACGGCCTCTCACCTTGCTGTAGCAGGTCACAGCCTCCGCATACTGCTGCTCTCCAAACGCGCGGTTGCCTGCGGTCTTGGCCTCACCCGTCACTGCGCTGTCCTTGGCGCACGGGCCTTGGCGGTCAGTGAGAGGAGCGATCAGCTGTACGAAGCAAAGAAAAAGAGTACAATCTGAGTCTGTACAAAGATACTTAAATGGATTTTTGAACCAACGGAAAAAAAAAAAAAAAAAAAAAAAAAAAAAAAAAAAGGCCCGTGAACACCCATTGGCTTATAAACTGGCAGTTACGATTGTAACAAGGATAGCTTGGCAGCGCATCTCACCTGATCAAACACTCGCCGGTGCGCGGACTCCTCGAGAAGACTCCTCTCAATGGCTGCGAAAGCCGCTAAGGGGCGGTGAGAGGAGAGAGACTCCTTTACCTCCTCAAGCAGCGACGGCGACAAGAGACGCTGTAACGCGTCCATTGCGCGCCGAGTTGGAGACCGGGGTCACGTCTAGGAGGTGGATGACCGGGGTCATTGGCGGAGGAATTTATGATACACGAGCAGTCGCTGAATTGAACTGGTCGTAACTCGGAATTGAACAATGCGCGGAGTAGTAGCGGAGGTCCACTGCGGCCAAATTTACGTGTCACTTGTTTCGATATCCGCAGTAGTAGCGCTTACACGTGCGATTACCGGTAAGAGTTTCATTCACTTAGTCAACATGCTCTAGCACAGACTACTACCAGGAAAACAATCAGACAACTAGCCACAAACAAGGGGGTGTAGTCAGACAGATATCCCTAGGAAAGCCACCAAGACTTTGTAACAACGTAGCGCCCGAGATCTCGTCCTAGAGAAAAAGACATCGATCATCACATCTGATTCGGTTGTGCATCAGAGTAAGGTATGTTCCATCCTCCTCCCTCCCTGCATTGCTCCCTCCGTCCCTCTCACCATTCCTTCCTTTCCCCCTTACAGACGTCACCCATCTCCCCCATTTCCCTGCCCCACCTGCACACACCACTCCATCGCTTCCCACTGCTCTTTGCTCCTCCCCCCTACTTCAGCTTTGCAGCTTTCCCTCTCCCTCTCCCTCGTCCCCGCCCGCGTCCCCTACCTCTCCCTCTTCCCCCACCCACCATCTCCCCAGCCTCACTATTCCCATCCTCTTCCCCACCCTCCCCCTCCCCTCCTCCCTCCTCCTCCATTCCCTCCCCCTCCTCCCCCTCTTCCTCCTCACCCCCACGCCTCCTCTTCTTACTCCTCCCCTCCTCATCCACACTTGCCATACTCCCCGATTCACCCTCCAACGCCCAAGTCCCCCCACTCGCCTCCCCTCCCCTCCCTCCTCGTCCTCCCCCTCTGCCTCCCCTCCTCCCTCCCCTCCCCCTCTTTGCACCGCTCCTAACCGAACTAGTAGGTGAACCCACCGCCCCTCCTGCACTCACACCCTGGGACCCCGACGTTGCTTTCCTAGCAGATCGCCTTACCGGCTTATCCACCTCCTCCCCTGCAACCCCGTCTGCTTCCCCAGCCCCGCCTCTGCGCCTCATACGCCCCGAAGGGGTCTGGCTTCCAACAGGCGCTCTGACTGGTGTGGCAGGTTCGGCCGTAGCGCTGGGCACTGCAGCGGCCGTTCCTGCTACGGCCGCTACAGCCAGATGAGCTTCGACTTCCACCACACCTACCGCCACTCCAGCACCAGCCCCAACACCATCCGCCACTCCAACACCAGCACCATCCGCCTGCTCCTCCCCAGCAGCCCGCACAGCAGCAGCAGCAGAAACCACCACCCCAGTGACAGCCACACCAGCAGCACCATCTGCTGGCTCAGCTTCCATCCCCTCTGCATCCCTGAATGCCTCATCCTCATCCCCCTCTGCAGCATCCCCATCCGCATACCCATCAGCAGCGTCAGCATCAGGAACACCCTCCCCGTCGTCCTTCTCCCCCTCGTCACCTTCCTTCCCTGTATCTCTTTCCTCATCCATACCTGAAGGACCCGCACCAGCAGGGGACTTGCTACCACCAGCAGCAGCAGCACTACCACCACCGCCCCACAGACTGGCCAGACCAAATGCAGTTTTCCTGCATTGCTCCAATGCCCAGTTTCGACGCGGCTTCGGAGGTTCGGTCATGGGCACAGCAGCAAGGGCAGCAGCATCTGTTGCACCTGCTGCACCTGCCTTAGCAGCAGCAAGTGCAGAGGTAGGAGTAGATAGCAAACCGAATTTAGCCCCGGTTTCTCTTCCAGGAGTTGTAAACAACCCCCCCTCTCGATCTGCTCCTGCTGCTGCTGCTGCCTCTGCTGCCTCTTCTGCTGCTGCTGCTACTGCAACAGCTACTGCTGTGGCTGCCTCTGTTGCTGGCACCTGAGATTTCGCCTGAGCCTGGGCAGGAGAGCCCAGCAGGGAGTTCTCCATGGTGGCGAGTTCGGACTTGAGCACACGGAGCCGTTCGGCCTCCCGTGCCATGCCCTCTCGCTCCATCTCCACTGACCGACGCTGAGCCTGTCGGGGGATCAGATGCGGTGGGATAGGTTGGAGTGGGGTGAGCAAGGACCAAAATTATCTCTACAGAATAAAATGTTGAGGAACAAGCAACAGCTTGCCTTGCAGGGCAGGCAAAAAACAATCAGGGAGAACCTCAAGCTTCAGAACAGCCCTTCTCACCTCAAGCTCCTTCTTCTCCATCTCGAAATCTTCCCGCTCCTCATTCAGCCTCTCCCTCGCAAACCGCAGCTGCTCCGCCAAATCATGCCCGCCAGCAATCCAGCTCGACCCGCCCGACAGCCTCCTCTCCGCACTCTCCGTCCGCCTGCCCGCCTCCTTCTCCTCCTTCAGCTGCCGCCGCTGCTGGTGCAGCTCCTGAATCATCTTCTGCACATCGTCCCAGTGCCTCTGAGTATCCGCCCTGTCCCGCGCCACCGCCTCTCTCTCCCGCTCCATCTTCTTCCTCTCCTCTTCCACCAGAGCCTCCCACTCCTCCCGCCGCCGCCTCTGCTCCTCATCCAGCCTCCGGGAGCGGGCCATAAGATCCCGCTCCTTCTCCTGCCGCTCCTTTTCAGCAGCAGCCCTCTCAGACTCAATTCCAGCCAGGGTCGTTGCCACCTCCTCCTCCGCCTTCGCCCTGCGAGACACTAACTCCAGATTCTGTCGCTCCACCTCCTCCCTCTCTTCCTTCACCTTAGCCCGCTGCTTCTCCAGCTCCCTCAGCTCCCTCTCCTGCCGCCTCCTCAGCTGCTCCACCTGCAGCACCTCTGCTTCCTTCTCTGCAATCTCCTTCTTTAGCTCCACCCGCTTCGCCACCATCTCCTCTCTCTGCCTCCTCAGCTCCTCCCTCTCGCCTTCAATCCTCGCCCTCTCCTCCTCCACCCCAACCCGCTTCTCCTCCACCGCCTCCCGCATCCGCCGCAACTTCGCCTTCTCCTCTTCCATCCTGGCCTCAAACTCCGCGACCCTCTCTGCCAGCCTATCAGCCTCCGCAGCAGCACGGGCAGCCTGTGCCGCAGCAGCCTCGTCCCTCTCCTTCTCCAGCGCAGCCCTCTGCTTCTCCCTCTCACTCATCAGCTCCCTCCCACCCTCCCTCACCTTCGCCTCCTCCACCCTCAGCCGCGCCCTCTCCCTCTCCAACTCCTCCATCTCCTCCCGCAGATGTGCCCGCTGCTCCTGAATGTTCCTCGACGCCTGAATCGCCTCCGCCTGCTGCTTCTCAAGCCCTTCAAGCTCCGCAATCCGCTCTCCAATCTCCCTCCTCTCCTTCTCCCTCTCCTGCCTCGCCACCTCCCTCTCCTGCTCAATCTTCCTCAGCAGCCCCTCGTTCCCTGCGCGTTCAGCAGCCAATTCCGCCCGTTCAGCTGCAGCAGCCGATCGCATCTTCTCCAGAAGCTCCTTCTCCTTCTCCAGCTCGCTCGCTGCAGCAGCAAGCTTCTCCCTCTCCGCAGCCACGCTCTCCTCAGCCTTCACCGCTGCTTCCTGCTCCGCCCTCGCCCGAGCAGCAGCCACTCTCGCCCCCTCCGCCTCCCTCTCCGCTGCGGCCCTGGCAGCCTTCAGCTCAGCAGCAGCAGCCTTGGCCTCCGCCTGTTCCTTCTTCAGTTCCCGTCTCTCCCCTGCCAGCGCAACCCTCTCCGCCCTAACCTCCTCTCTCGCTCCCACCACCTCCTCCTTCTCTCTCCCAACCGCCTCCCTCTCCTTCCCCAAAGCACCTCTCTCTCTCGCCAGCCTCGCATTCTCCTTCTCAATCTTCGCCTCAGCAGCAGCCTTCTCTTTCTCCACGGCCTCCCTCTCTCGCCTCGCCAAAGCCGCCACATCCAGCCGCTCCCTGTCCAGCCTCCCCAAAGCAGCAGTCACTTCCGCCCGCTCAGCAACCAGCCCTTCCCGCAGCCTCTCCAGCTCCTCTCTCGCCCGATCCGCCTTCGCCCTCTCGCCTTGCACCTCTGCCTTCTCAGCCTGCAGCATCTTAATCTCCCGCTCCAGCTCAGCCTTCTGCTGCCCCAGCTTCACTCTCTCCGCCCTGCTCTCCGCCAGCTCTTGCCTTGTGCTCGTCCGTTCCTCCCGAGCCTTCTCCCGCTCCACCCGAACCTCCAGCAGCTTCTTCTGCACGCCCTCCTTCTCCTTCTCCACCCTCTCCCGCTCCTTCAGCAGTGCCGCTCTCTCCTTCGCCAGAGACTCCCTATCCCGCTTCACCCCAGCAGAATCCCTCTCAACCTTCTCCAGCGCCAGTTTCCTATCCACTGCCACGCTCTCCCTCTCCAAAGCAATCTTCTTCACAAAGTCTTTCCGCTCCTCATCCAGCCTCGCTCTCTCCTGCAGCACCTCCTTCCTCTCAGCCTCCAGGGCATCCATCTCCCCCTTGGCCTTCTCCCACGCGTTTCTCGCCTCCTTCGCGCCCCTCTCCGCCGCTGCCCGTTCCTCCACAAGAGATTTTATCGCTGCCCGATGCTCGGCTGCTTCTGCTCTAGCAGCTTCCCTCTCCTCTCCCAGCAACCCCCTCTGCCTGTGAACCTCCGCAAGGGCCTTCTTGACCTCCTCAGCCTCTCGCTCCACCTGCTCCCTCTCTTTCCCCACTGCCTCCCTCTCAATCCGAACCTTCTCCCTCTCCGCCTCGCCCCTCGCCGCAACCTCCTGCTTTTCCATCTCCACTCCTTCCCGTTCCATCTCCACCACTCTCTTCTGCTGCTCAACCTCTGCTTCCATCCTCTCCCTCTCCCGCACAAGCCCCTCCCGCGCCCGAACCACCTCCTCCTCCCTCGCCGCTACAGCCGCCAGGGCCACCTCTACTTCACCCATCCGTGCCGCTACAGCCGCCTCTCTCCCCTTCAGCTGCTCAGCCGCCGCTTCAAGAGCTGATTCCCGGGCGCTCACGTCCTCGAGTCTGCTGCCAAGCTCAATCTCCTCTGACTGTAACGCAGCTCTCTGGAAAGCCAGTTCCTCCATCTCCCTCTCCACCTGCTGTCTGCCCTCGTCCGCTTCCTTCCTCGCCCGCACCACCTCATCCGCCTCCTCTCCCAGCCTCACCCTCTCTTCCCGCGCCTCTGCTACCACCCGCTTCCTCTCCTCCTCCACGCCTTCTCGCTCTGCCCGCACGGCGCTCAGCATCTGCTGGTGCTGCTCCTTCCACCCTTCCTTCTCCTGCTCCAGCTCCTTCCGACCCTTCTCCACCGCTGCCAACATCTCCCGCACCTTCTCCTCTTCCGCTTTCACCGCCTTCCCCTTCCGCTCCAGAGCTGCATGCTGTTGCGACAGCTGAGCAAACACCGTTTTCTTCTCCTCGATCTCCTTCCTCAGCTCGCCCCGCTCGGCCTTCAGCGCCTCTCTCTGCCCCTCCACCTCCGCAGACGCTTCTTCCAGCGCATTCCTCTCCTCACGCAACTTCTCCCGCTCCCTCTCCACCTCCTCCCTCTCTGCCTCGACCTCCTCTCCCTTCCTCCTCCACTCCTCCGCAATCCCTCTCCTCTCCTCCTCCAACTCCTCTCTCCCTTTCTCCAACCTCGCTTCAACCTCCCTCTCTTGCCTCCTCACCTCCTCCCTCTCCTTCTGCACATCAGCTAGTGCTTTCTCCCTCAGTTTCCCAACTTCTACCTCCATCCTCTCCACCTCCTCCCTCTGCCCATCCAGCACCTCCCACTCCTTCTCAAACCTCTCCTTCTCCGCTCTCAGCTCCTGCACGCGCCTCTCCGCCTCCTCAAGCCGCTCCTGCGCCCGCTTCATTTCCGCCTGCGCTGCCTCCCGCTGGACCCCCGACTCCGCTATAGTCTGCTCCGCTTTAGCCAGAGCAGCTGCTGCTTGGCGCTTCTCCGCCTCTGAATCGGCGCGCTCAGAGCGAACCCTCTCCCGGAGATCCTCCAGCTGCTGCTTCTCCGCGTCCGCCTCTGCTCTCGCCACTTCCAACCTGCCAACACACCAGTGCAGCAGTCCATGCAACACGCAAGAAATATCAAGCATGAGTCACAAATCTTGGGAAGCAGACGGGGGGCCAACGTCAAAACTCAACATACAATGAAACACTAAAGCAGCACCCCTCGTCCTCCAGGTTCTCCATCCTTCCTCCCCCAACTCTCCCTCCCCAGCCACACCAAACGTTCCCCATCGTTGCACCCTTTTTTCCCCTCGCTGCACCCCTTTTCTCCCTCGTTGCACCCTTCTTCCCCCTGGTTGTCCTCTTTTCTCCCCCTAGCCCCAACTTAAGACTCACCGCCTCAAATCCCTGTCCAGCTGTGCCTGCCTCAGCTCCACCTCCCGCTCTCTGCTCGCCGCCTGCAGCACCAGCGCCTCCGCCTCCGCCATGCGCTCCGCCGCCCTCTCCGCGCGCCTCTGCGCGCCCTGCTCGCGCTGCTCCACCAGCTCCTCCTTCTGCGCCACCTGCGCGCGCAGCCCTTCCACCTCGTTCTCCTGCGCCTGCACCCTCTCCCGCTCCGCCTGCCAAGCAACCAAGCAGCATAGCAGCCCATACGTCAAGAACAGGTCAGCAAGTGAAGCGCGCAAGAGAAGACGTAACGTTGCTAAGTTCCTGGAGAGCCATATAGATACTGGAGAGCCATATAGTTACTGGAGAGCCATATAGCTACTGGAGAGCCATATAGCTACTGGAGAGCCATATAGCTACTGGAGAGCCATATAGTTACAAATCATAAGCAGCTCTCATCTCACCAGCAGCGCGCGCTCCTTGCTCTGCAGCTCCGCCTGCATTTCCTCCAGCTGCACGCGCCCACTGCTCAAAGACGCTTCCACCTCGTCCAGCCCCTTCTTCTCGCTCGCCTGCTCGCAGTGCAGCAGACACAGACAACCAGAGGCGCACGAGATAAGTAGACAAGCAGACACACAGTATAAGGTACGCCAGCCTCCTCTTGGAACCGTCCAGAGCAGATGGGCACATTCTATAACCCCCGAAAACTCTCAAAATTTACGGTAACAACAAAATGTGACTTCCTTCTCAAATCTCACCAGCTTGGCCTTGAGATCGTCCAGCGCGGATTGCCGCTTCCGCAGGCTCTCCTCCCACTCGCGCACCCTCTCCTGCTCGCTCGCCACACGCAGCTCCAACTCCTTGCCGCGCATCTCCCTCGCCACCGCGTCCTGGTGCACACGCGCGAGGGAGAGCGGGGAGAGACACAGGAAGGAGAAGTACGGGGAGGGACGAGGGAGATGGGACAAGAGAGAGGGATAAGCGAGAGGGACAAGGGAGAGGGACAAGGGAGAGGGAAAAGGGAGAGGGACAAGGGAGAGGGACAAGGGAGAGGGACAAGGGAGATGGACAGGGGTAAGAAATCAGCGAGAGAAGAAACGTGGAGAAAAAGACACAGTGGAGGCGAGACGAGGCAGGTGCAAGGATCGGAGCAGGTTGGAGACATAGACCAACTAACACCCAACCCTGTGCAAAGCCCACCCCTAATGCCAGATCCACCCTGTGCTTCGTCAACAGCAGCGTGGCATACCTGTTCGCGCGCCACCAGGAGGTCCTCCTGCACCGCCAGCTCGCCCTCCCGCTTCGCCAGCGCCACCTTCCCCTCCGCCACCGCCTGCGCCTCCTTCCGCGCGCGCTCCTCCGCCTCCCGCGCCTGCTCTCGTACGCCCTCCAGCCGCCGCGCCTCCTCCTGCAGCGCCGCCTTCCGCGCCTCCGCCTGCTGCTCCGCCGCCTTGAGCTCGTCCATCGCTGCGCCTATGCGCGCCTCCCGCGCATCCAGCATCTCCTCGCTCTGCGCGCCCGTAACCACACCACATGCACACACACACGCACACACATACGCACACACACACGCACACACGCACGCACACCCCACCCACCCCCCCACCAACTCACCCCAACTTCTCCCCCCCCCCCACACACACGCAAGCACAGACACACAGAGAAACACACAAACACTCATACACACAAGCACACGCATGCATGCACGTGAAGCAGTTGTCAGGAGCCGTCACTTCCAACAGCGTATCCATAGAACCACATTACACGTCAAGAAGACACCCATAACTGCCAGCCATTCCCCGTCCCACCCCAAATGCAAAACAATCGAGCTCCCTACCTCCAGAAGCTTCGCATTGCGCTGCTTCAACTTGGCCTCCCAGTCACTCAGTGACCCTTTCTGCGCCTCCAGTTCCCGCGCCTTGGCCTCCAGCCTGAAAACGCCACACACCATCCGACAGCGCACACACCATCCACAACCCAAAGCGATTCATATCAGATAGCACTCATGAAACTAGCGATAACAAGGAACAAGGTGTCTGACATTCAGAGCAGCATGGTACAAGGAATCTGCGAAGAGCTCCTAGAGGCAAGGCAGGCAGCAACTCAACCTAACCCAGAAGCAAGCGCCATTCTCGCAAGTATAAAGCGCCATTCCTAGCATATCTCCCCCCTTAACCCAAGGGCTGCAAGCAACCTTTCCCCTCTCTCACCTGTCCTTCTCCGCCTGAACTTCGCGCCTGCCATTCGCCTCCCTAGCCTCCAGCTCCTGCTGCTTCCGCTCCGCCTCCGCAATGCGCCTGCTCGCCTCGCTCCGGCTCGCCTCCACCTGCCGGCTAGCCGCCTCCGCCGCCTGCAGCTTCTTTTCCGCGGCAGCCATGGTGGCGTTGGCCTCGTCTAGAGCCGTGCGCGCGTGCTTCTTCGTCTCCTCCACCTCCACCTGCAGCTCCTTCACAGCTCGCTCCATCTGCAGTCAAAAGGAGGAAATATTGTACGCAATATATGTCAAAAGTATATTCTCAGTAAACCGCGTGTTTCTTCGACTCCTCCACCTGCAGCTCCTTCACAGCTCGCTCCATCTGCGGTGGGAAGGAAAAACCGCAGGAGCTGTTTTTTCCAGAATGCAGCTGCTTCTTTCTTCGAATTTATTCTCTCCCCCTATGCATGCAGGGGAATTTTGATATCAACTTTTCTTTGTTTTCCCACAGATCGCTCCATCTTCAGTGGAAGTGGAAACAGATGAGGGGTCGCCCGACGGCGACGGCATTGAAACGGGGTCCGCAATCAACGTCATCAACTTCTCGAATTCTCAGGCGACTTGACTTTCGAACATCATGAAATCGATCTTGCTGAGCGACAACGAGCGCGGAAGTGCACGGAAAACAAGGACGGAGAGAGCGATAAGGAAAGCAGACGGAGAGAAGCGACGCGGCGAAAAGAGACGAGAAGGCGTACGCTTGCGACGCAGTCCTGCTCGATGGCGAGCGCGTCTTGTAGAGCCTTTTCCCGCTCCTTCGCTTCCGCCAGAGCGACCCTGTGCGCCGTCGCTTCCCGCTGCAGCTCCGCTTCCGCTTCCTCCAGCGCCGCTCGCGCGTCCTCGTACTTGGGTAGCCACTTCTGCCGCTCCATCAGCAACAGACCCATGTTGTACTGGTACTCGTAGAGCTGCCAGGAAGAGTAATAAGAAAATAAAAATAATATAGATCAGAACAATGAATCTAACGAGATTACGAGAAAATGACAGACTAAGATCGAAACACGGTTAAACATATTGATAGCTGAAAAAAAACGAAGATTCGTCAACGTATAACTATCAGAGAATGCTGGAGATTCCTGTTAAGGAGTAAAGTAGAGGCGCCTCCTTTTACCTCTTGATCCAACGAGTTCGCCTTCTCCATTAGCGCGTCTCGCTCTTTCCGCAGAACCACGACCTCGTCCAACCCTGACTCCCGGTATCGCTGCCAGACCTGCTCCTCCTCTTCGAGCCTCGTCTCCGCAACCGGAACAATGGCTCGGCTCTGCCTCGCTGCAGACCTGGGAGGAGCCGGCTTTAAAGACGCTGCTGCGATGGCAGCCAATGCATCTTTCGCCAAGGCTGGCGAGGGATTGGCTCGCGAAATGAGGTTACCGTCGACGGAGACGATATCGGCAACGTCTGCGGAAATGAAGCCTGGTGTGCTGTTCCTGCGCCTGGCGCTGCTTCCAGGTGCTGCTGACGTGTCAGGAGGCTTTGGTGTGGCATTCTTCTTGGAAGACTTCGGACCATTGTGTTGAGGAGAGTTGAGAGGAATGTTGTCGAAAGTAAGACGAGTAGCGGTTGCTGATATTGGCGAGAACGCCGAATACTGATTCTGATCCATGACGGGATCTGCTTCAAATCAGCAGAAACCGTAGACAATTAAGAGCGTTAACTGAGCCTCCAGATGTATTACAAATTAATCGAGTACATAGCCGTTCCTTAAGATACTACGACGAGAACGCGCACGGGAAAACCGGCCCGTCCAATGTCAGAGTTTCTGTCTTGGGTAGGCAATGGCGCTGATAAGGAGAAGTCTGAACTGAACTCAAGGTAATCTGAAACCACAGAAGCTCAGAAAACCCTAGAGATCTTCGGCTGGCTCCAGGATTTCAATCTGCACTTCTACCTTATGCGGGAATGGAATTGTGCCGCAGGTCCCTTGAGGATCAACATTTCCTTGGTTTGGCGGAAGAAGTGGGTTCGGGGATGGTGTCAGTCCGTTACCATTAATTCGTGAATGTTCGCAATGGGAAACGAGCGTCAAGTGGACCGCTTTGAGTTTCGCCACGCTTATCGTCACAGGTACTTGGAACTTGGCTGTCTATTTTGCCTGTCAGCAAGCTTGCCGCGCTTTTCTGACAGCATGACTCGTTTGATGGTGCGTCGGTAAACTATTAAGTAGAAGTTTATGGTTGGCTGTTACATTGGAAATTGAAGTGCTTCCTCCTCACCCTCGCATTGCTGCAAATTTGCAGGCAGGCCAGCCTTCTTGAGCTGGTCGAGTCGCTCTCAAAAACTGGATTGCAACGCTCGTAACCGTTCAAAAACGTACGGAACCTCGCCCCTATGGATGGGCTTGTTCTCCCCCTCCCAGCGTCTACCACATCACTAAGAGAAAGAAATCGCGCCTCGTTCATCATCACACTTCGCTTCACCTTCGCTTCACACTTCTCTTCACCTGCACACATTCAGATAAAACAAGGATGAGACGTGAGCATGAATCCTTAGATTATCACATCAATCCGTACCTCTAGGTTTAAGGCAGTAGCTAGCAACCACACTGATTATTCAGCTATGGGGAATAATGGGCGGAGCATTAGAATCTGCCAACCACGGCTTGTGCTGCTCGCGGCCGCACTGTTGCTAAATTTGGTGACGCACGCAACTGCCGCATCATGGTTTCCCTGGTCTATGGCGAGTGAGTTCGTTTCCTCCTTGTATGACTTTCTTCTCGTATTCTAGTTCCATCCAGCGCGTTCATCCAGCCTCACTTTCCATCAGTCCTATGATATCCACCGTGTCTGAAAGGATCAGCTGTTTTGAGTCGACTCAAAACACGACTCGCTATCTATCAATCCTATGATATCCACCGTGTCTGAAAGGATCAGCTGGGGGACACAAAGAACCGTTCCATCCCGGTTTGGTTAGTCTCGGGCATTTTTTACGACTCACGGGAATTGAACCTTTTCGGCTCGCTTCCTCCCCTTCTCTGCGCTCGTTACTACCGCCAACAGCGGTCGGGAGCGGAATGAACAACATTTGTTTGCGAAGTATTCTCGAGAATCTTTACAAACAGCCCCGATATTTCCCCCCTTTTCCCTCCCCACCCTTGCCCCCTCCCCCCCCCCACCCTCCCCTACTTTCTCCTCGATCCCTTCTTCTCTCTCCACCTCTGCTCGTGGATTAAAATGTTAAGCCATCTCACTGTTTCTCCAAGTATCCCCTTGACTTTCTCCCGCCAAAGGCTCACAAACCAGTGATTCGAAGTGGGGGTGCGACATCACCAGCGGGGAGTGGGTGGGCGGGAGGAACCTTCCGCTCTACACGGGAATGAACTGCCCGTACGTTCGCTCCATTCAGAACTGCGAGAAGAACGGACGGCTCGACATGTCTTTTCAGAAACTCAAATGGCGGGTACGCGTTACACTGTCCCTCGTTTCGTTCACTTCCTCATTCGAAATGGCTGGAATGATGCGGGATTGTGGAGTGATCCCCCCCTTTTTTTATCTTCGTCGTTTCTCTTTCTCCCTGATTTCCAGCCTCATACGTGTAAGACTCGGCGAATGACTCCCAAGTTACTGCGTAACCAACTTCGCGACAAGTTCGTTCTCGTGATCGGTGATAGCGTGGCGAAGAACTTCGCAGCGTCGGTGATGTGCGTGCTGCACTCGTCCAGCTGGAACCTGACGGAACGGTTCCAGTTTGAGAATAGAGGGAGTGTCGCACACGGCATGCAGGTGAGTCGCGCAAGGCATGCAGATGAGTCGCACACGAGTCGCACGCCGCATGCTCCAAGTTCCAACCCCATCGAATCCCTCATTGCAACATCCCTTTCCATCTGCCAATCCCGTCAGATCCCTCGGTACAACATCCGTGTCGTTGCAGTCACATCCAACTTCCTCAGCAACGCCACGGCCCTCCCGTCTACCTCCTCCTCCTCTCCCTCCCCGTCCCCCTCCCCCTCCGCCTCCTCCTCCCCCTCCCCCTCCCCCCCCCCCCCCTCCCCTTCGCCCTTCTTCGGATCGCGAGTCAACCTGGACCAGCTACAGGACGAAATTCTCAATCTCATGCCCCTTGCAGACCTTGTCGTTTTCCAGGCGACCAACTGGTGGACCTCTCGCGCGAACAGATTCTTTATAGGAGACACCGAGTTAACTACAGTAGCAGTCGCAGAGGCCTACGAGATGGCCCTGCAAACACTGAAATCCTTTGTAGAGCGGGCGCAGGAGCGCGCGTTCAAGGGCAGGGCGGTGCTGCTGGGGGCGTCCCCTACGCACTATGACCTGCCTCTGCCAGGTGTCCCTGGGGGGTCGTGCCAGGTCAACCAGAAACTCACGTGGCTGCAGGTGAGGAAATGGGAGTGTGATTGCGGGAGTCTGGAAGTGAGGGAGTGTGTGAGTGAGTGAGGGCATATTGGAGTGAGGGAGGGAGTGTGGGAGTGAGAGAGTGAGAGGTGAGTGCACGCTACAAGATGGCCCTGCAGACGCTGAAATCCTTTGTAGAGAGGGCGCAGGAGCGCGCGTTCAAGGGCAGGGCGGTGCTGCTGGGGGCGTCCCCTACGCACATTGAGCTGCCCCTGCCAGGTGTCCCTGGGGGGTCGTGCCAGGTCAACCAGAAGCTGACGTGGCTGCAAGTGAGGCGTAGGAAAAGGAAAACAGTGGGTAAGGTGTGTGGGAGTGAGGGATGCGGCCATGACGAGGAGTGGGAGTGAGGGAGTGTGCGGGTAAACATCGGACAACACGTGCACATTGTGCTATTCTGCAACCCCAGGTTTCTGCCATTCCAGCATTGCCATGAATTACCCAACACTACGTAATCATTCGGGTGGTTGAAATTCCTGTTGCAGGCGCAAGAGATTCGACAGGGAGACACCAATGTGGAGGGGTTTAGAGAGGTGGAGAGGCGGGTGCTGTCCGGGTCTCCTATCCAGTACTTGGATGTGGGGCCCATGAGCGACTCACGACCCGATGGTCACATACAGAACTGGATGGATCCAGGTGAGGCCCGATTGTGGAAAATAGCGATGGTGCAACTTTGTTGGAGTGGAAATGTGTGTGCTGTCGGGGTCTCCTATTCAGTACTTGGATGTGGGGCCTATGAGCGACTCACGACCGGATGGTCACATACAGAACTGGATGGATCCAGGTGAGGCCCGCTTGTGGATGATGATGATGATGATGATGATGATGATGATGATGATGATGATGATGATGATGATGATGATGATGATGATGATGATGATGATGATGATGATGATGATGATGATGATGATGATGATGATGATGATGATGATGGTGCAACTTTGTTGGAGTGGAAATGTGTGTGCTGTCGGGGTCTCCCATTCAGTACTTGGATGTGGGACCTATGAGTGGCTCACGACCGGATGGGCACATACAGAACTGGATGGATCTAGGTGAGACCCGATTGTGGAAAATAGCGATGGTGCAACTTTGTTGGAGTGGAAATGTGTGTGCTGTCGGGGTCTCCTATTCAGTACTTGGATGTGGGGCCTATGAGCGACTCACGACCGGATGGTCACATACAGAACTGGATGGATCCAGGTGAGGCCCACTTGTGGATGATGATGATGGTGCAACTTTGTTTGAGTGGAAATGTGTGTGCTGTCCGTGTCTCCTATCCAGTAATTGGATGTGGGGCCTATGAGTGGCTCGCAACCCCATGGGCACATACAAAGCTGGATGGATCCAGGTGAGGCCCGCTTGTGGAAAATAGCGATGGTGCAACTCTGTGGAAGTGGAGAAATTTCATCGACAATAGCTCTGTGTGGCTGTGGGGTTGACGCGCTGCCTGTATCAGTGTGGGTGGGTGGGTTCCCCTTGTGCTCATTTGGTTCTGTTGCTGTTTATGTGTGCAGGAGAGACGAGTCTATCTACGCGTGATGATTGTCGCCATTGGTGTGAAGGTGGAGTGACCGACGCTTGGCTCGAGATGTTGTACAATACACTTCTATACTAGTGGATATGTACATAGGTACAAACCTTCACGTAGGCTCACCTTCTACGAACGAATGTCATGTATTAGTAGCTGTTACGGGTGCAACGAATCGAGGTAGCGAGAATTGCACTAAGGTGTCAAACGAGTACAAAATGTGAGCGAAGGCATGAGCGAACATTTATACGCGAAACATGCAAACGGTAACGCGGTGCGTGCGAGCTAGCTAGTGCTATGCTGGAAGCGAGGCTTGGGCTAGTCCCGAAGCGTAGGCCGACACGGCCGGTCCAGCAGTGCGAGGTTTGGTAAAACAGTGCGCGCGAAGTCGGCGAAGCCCCGTTAGCAGTAACGGGCGAACAACGGCTGTTGCTGTACGCGGTGTTGCAGGGCGCGCTAAGGAATATCCAGAAAATTCCTTACACTACCCCCCCCCCTCAAGAAGCCCCCTCCGCTATGCAAGTGCGTGTATATCGCGGAAACCCCGGCTCCTCAGGTACACTTGCAGGGCATGGTGGTTTTCGATGTTGGCCAGGGGCACCCAGCTATCCTCAGTTGGCGTGTGGTCCTTCCAGCGAACGAGGAATTCAATCCTCCTGATTCCCGTGGGGTGTCGAATCCAATGGCTCAGGATTTTTTCGGGCTCGATAATCGGCTCCGATGCAGGGCGAG